GTACTTGCACATGCAAATTAAAACGTCACGTTAAGATTTTGTATATAGTATTCTTTAGGATTTGGTATGTGATAAGTATGTTAGATGTTGTTTTTTCATGAATTCTGCAAAATGGAAAAGAAATTTGTTCATTAGCAGTGAAATTTAGAAGCATAAAAAGGAGGGAAAGGGGGGTAAAATCTAATCCTTGCAGTCGAATATGGTATTGTGAGGTTACAGTTTGGTGATGGCCTAGAACAGCGAATTCTCCGCCTGAATTACGTGACTCTACTGTATTGTTTCCTAATTCAACCATCTAAATAGGTTATAAGTAGTTTCAAAAAGGTAATTTTAAAATATTCATGATCTTTTGATGTTCTGGAAAAACATTTTTAACCTCCAGTAATTCCTAGGTAATATAGTCATTAAAATTCAGTTGATCTTTTTTCTAATACTTTCAATTTTTTCAGACAATGGCTGATAACTTTGGTGGGGTGATTTGTGCCTCTGTCAAGGATGTTAATATTACTGCATTCCATAATGGCTTTGACATAGAGAAACAGGTTTAGTTCTAAGAGAAGTTTTAAAAAATATGGTATTCCTGTTTTTAATCTTTGATTTTTGATAGTAACTCAAAAAGTTACTCGGTCAATATAGTACTGGTAACAAACGGTTACTGGTAGTCAACCGAAAAACAAAAACCTGGACATATACAGCTCGGAGAGATTAACGTTCGGGCGCGAATGCACTGAAATAACGGTGCCATTTCACTCGTCACTTTTACACTTGGGTGGAATTGCTGAGGGCTGCTGCGTATTGTGCATATCTACCATTTTTGACACAACGAGACTATCTCACTATCCGAGAGACCAACGAGACATGAATCAATACGGATCTAGCGCAAAGAGAGAGAGTACCGGTCCGAACAAGAGGCGAGGCGAGCGGCGATCAGGAGGGCATGTTTTCTGTCATACGCAGACGTAGCGCACGGACAGTGACACATACACCTCTGCCGACAACACACGCAACTACCGACTGCTATATTCTCTTCAACAGACGTGGCGGACAAGTGAGATATCACGCTTGGCGGCAGATCACAGAGTACTCATAAGAGATTCCGGTTAATACGACTAGGAGACGCAAGCACACGAGTTATGTACAGCTCAGATGACACGTATGAGAGAGAGAATGAGACTATCTGCGTTCATAGTAAGCGAAGAGAGCTCTCTCTAGTGATATAGATGCAGATTAATACTCGCACTTATAGACATATATGAGACCTTGTCGAAGAAGCAATGAAGTTTGAGCGATGTAGGTATTTTTGTTTGAATTCTGGAAAACAGTATATTCAAAATGTACTGAATTATCTTAACGCAGAGAAAGAATGATGGTTTTAATAATGATTAATTCTTTTTAGGGTTGCCACAAATTTTACTTAAAGCTGGTAGACAATGGAAGTCATTCAAGCCATTGTATTGAGCGTAGAGGAAGTTGAGCCGATTTAAAAATCAACATTAGAGTTCATATTCATGCCCAAATCGTGTTATCCATGAGATTTTCTTTAGGTAAGTACTCATTATATAAATAAGATTTGGTTTTTATGCAATATAAGGGTTTCAACTAAGTATAGAGTATAATAAGCATTAAATATATAAACACTCTAAGGGGAATTTGTGTGTGGGTTCTGTTCCAGCAGTCATGTTTAAGTTTTCTTGTCATGTGAGATATACTCAGATTACCCTTCGGAATACTAAAAGGATGAATGATAGGACAGTGTGGGAGACTAGAGAAAACTGAATAGTATACAAAGAAATGGGATGCTTAGTATAGTAGCATAGTAACCGCTTATGCATAATGATTCCAACTCCTTGCTAATAAAAATTAGGTTGTTTTTAATAGGAATTATACTAAATTCCTCGAAATTAAGAATTGATGTGGTAGTATAATTTGGAAGGACAGAAATTTTATGCCTTAAGTGCTAAACCCAGCAAAAACAGTCAACACGCAAAAACGATCGACTCTGTACATATTATAAATATCAAATGAAACACAAAGAGATATCTATTCACTCGAGTGAAATATTTTCTATTGCATCGTGACAGAAGTGTTATTTAGGCCAGTGAGCTCATATTCCATGTTTGAGTCCATAAAGATGCCAACAACTGATTATTATGGATGTCGAGTTTGGTGACTAACAACTGATTGTGTGTCAGGAACAGAGACCACATTCGAGTAATTGTTTTATCACACGCACTCTACACAAATAGTGACGTAAACATTTATTTCCTCGCACACAAAATATCTACATCGTATTATCATGAATATCTCTATACGCTCACGCATCGCAGCATCCACCACTCACACTGAATCAGCTATTTCGGAGGAAAAATACAACAATAAGGAGAGTATCATATAATTGAGATGAGATTCAATAATATATATAACAGCATTGGCTTCATCTGAACCAACAACAAAAGCAACTCTATAGCACTTTACGAAAATTTACTGTGGTCTGACAATTTGCTGTTTATTGGACCTAATGGTGTTAATAAATAGTATACGTAATAAATCTCTGTGTGCTTCCACTTATTAACATCATATTGATTCTTTATAGGAGATTGGCTACGGTAATATTCTACTCAGGTAAATATCAATGTTGGTGGTTCGGGAAGATATAAAGCTGTTCTGTTGTTTGCTATTGGATACGAAGTGATAATTTTATTACGCTTGATGATAGACGAGTTGTCTTGATAATCACTGTTCAGTTGGGGTAAGTACTTTATGTTTAGTGATAAAAGTGTTTGGAATTAATCATCTTGGTATTTTTGCCTTTCAATTTTGATGTTATATTCTGAATTTCAGGCCAAGTTGAAGAACAATTTCTGTGGAAGTTGAGATCAGTCACTGCTTATTATTGTTATATTCATCATATGATAGAAAACATATGGAAGATTTAAGACATCAATGATTAAAAGAAGTTTGCAAGAAGGTAACTAGATGTTATTGCCTTCTACATCAATATTATTTAATTTTAAACATTCTGTAATTTCATAAAAAATACACAAAATATAATGTATTCATACTAGTAGTATGCAACACACATGCATATTCTCATATTATTTTTTACAAAAACCTCGTATAAACACTTTAAAAAAATTGAATTAAAAAGTAATAGATTTTTGAAATGCTGCCGAATACATAAAATTAATATTAAAGCTTAAAAACTTGAAACATAAAACTCAGGAACAAGAGCTATGTAATAAAATTTTCAAAAAATTGATATAATTAAATACACACGCACTCGCTACTCACATTATTATATAAGTATAATAACAACAACGCAATCAACACCAAATTAGGAAAAATAAGTCTTGCAATATGTATATCATCTTTAATGATTGTAAAAAGACCGAAGATGGTGATTTAGCTCTAGTTACATATCACACATCATACACCACGGCACACAACCCCTGCAACTCACACATACAACACGCACACGCACAAACATACGATCCCAGCAATGCTGTTACAACCAACTCATGGCATATTGTAAAATTGCGCATGTGTAACACACACACCATAGGCACGCGTACATACTACACCCACGCACCAGACCACACATTCAGCACAGTACCACACTCATACATTCACACTGCACCATGCACCAGTACCACGCGTGCACATTCTCCACACATGAACCCCCCACACGTGTGCACGCCCACATGTGCGTCACAATGTGTGCACCCCTTCCAACACATGCATACCCCACAGACTCTCTTGCATACCACCTACATGTATTAGCGTACACTCACATACAATTGCAGCCCCCACAGCACACATGCGTTTGCACTCACACACGGTTGTGATGGTTGCATTCTCCACAGCACTACTCACAGCACATGGTTTGATCCCCACAACAACACACGATTGACATCTCCACGCACACAGTGCATCCCCCACATCACATGGTTTGCTCACACACACACGGCTTGCATCCCACACACGAACGGGTGCATCCCACACAATGGGTTGACATCCCAAACACGGTTGCATCCCCCAATACTTGCCACCACTAGCACATGCCACTGCGGCTTTGCAACACCACACATCCCACAACACTCCACACACATTGTCAATGCTGGCACCTCACACTCCACTCGCACGCTCCAACATCCACACACACACTCCAAACGCAACACACATCCACACACACAACACAACGTGCACACACCACAGCACACGTGCACACAACGGTGTGTGTGTGGGGATGCAACCGTGTGTGTGTGGGGATGCAACCGTGTGCGTGGAGATGCAACCGTGTGTGTGTGTGGGGGATGCAACCATGTGTGTGAGTGTGTGTGGAGAATGCAACCATGCACAACCGTGTGTGTGGGTGCAACCATGTGTGTGTGGGGGTGCAATTGTATGGTGAGTGTACGCTAATACATGTGGTGGGGTATGCAAGAGAGTGTGGTGGGGTATGCATGTGTGGAAGGGGGTGCACACATGTGGGGAGGCACATGTGGGGGTGCACACGTGTGGGGGGTTCATGTGTGGAGAGTGTGCACGCGTGGGACTGTGTGCATGGGTGAGTGTGCATGTATGAGGTGTGTACGGTGTGCATGTGTGGTCTGTGTGCGTGGGGTGTAGTATGTACGGCGTGCCTATGTGTGGTGTGTACAGCATGCGCGAAATGGTTACAATATGCATGAGTGTGGTGTGTACAGCATGCTGGGAGTGCGTATGTTGTGCGTGTGGGGTGTGTATGGTGTGAGTGCAGGGGAGTGTATTGTGTGCGTGAATGGGTGTATGGTGTGGTTATAATGTAACTAGAGCTAAATACCTCTTCGGTTTTTTACAATACATTAAAATGATTACATATTGCAAGACTTATTTTTCCTAATTGGTGTTTGATTGGTTGTTGTTATTATACTTAATATAATTAATTGTAATACAATTCTTATTATTAATTATATCAATTTTTTGAAATTTTATTACATAGCTCTTGTTCCTGAGTTTTGTTTCAAGTTTTTAAGTTTAATATTAATTTTATGTATTGGAGCATTTCAAAATCTATTACTTTTATAAATTCAATTTTTTTTAATGTGTTTATACGAGGCTTTTTTGTAAAAAATAATATGAGAATATGCATGCTGTTGTTGCACCACTAGTATGAATACATTATATTTTGTGTATTTTTTATGAATTAACAGAATGTTTAAAACTAAATATATTGATGTAAAGAGCAATAACATCTAGTACCTTCTGCAACTTCTTTTAAATGGATTGCATGTCTTAAATCTTCCATATGTTGTCTATCATATGTAATATACAATATAGCAGTGACTGGATCTGTCAACTTCACAGGAAATTGTTTCTTCATTGGCCTGAAATTCAGAATATAACATCAAAATTGAAAGAGCAAAAATACAAGATGATTATCAAACATTTATCACTAAACATAAATACTTACCCCAACTGAACAGGATTATCAAGACAACCTCCATCACAAGCGTAATAAAATTTATCACTTCTATCCAAAGCAACATACAGAACAGCTTTATTATCTTCCTGAACCACAACACTGATATTTACGTGAGTAGAATTACCGTAGCCAATTCTCCTATAAGGAATAATATATGTTAATAAGTGGGAGCACACAGAGAGTTATTACAATACTAGTTATTAACACCATTAGGTCAATAAACAGCAAATCAGACACAGTTAAATTTTGTAAACTAAGCAATAGCCACATCTCATAACTAACTTCAACTGTTATTTGTGATATCGATTGTGTGTTGTTAAATACTTTTCATAATATCATCTTCATCTACGAAAAAATCATGTAAACATGAATATCATTTCATGGAATAAATGTACTCATATTGCTGGTGAGGGAAAAACAAACTGAAGGGTCCTGAACACAATCATGGTAGTCCAACTCACATCCATTAAAAAGGTTTGATTTTATGGACTCAAACATGGAATACCCACTGGCCTAAAAACACTCGCCAGGGGTAATGATGAAACATTCACCATGAATTACATCTTTGTTTTCATGGAAATATAATATTAAGAGTCAGATCTTATGACTGTTTTCTATGCACATAAGGCATAAATTTCTTCCTCAAAATGTGACTACAGCCACATCATTCTTAATTCTCGAGGATTTAGTATTTCCTATAAACACACCAGATTTTTATTACGCAAGGTTGGAGATCATTATGCATAGCTGTACTAGGTGATACTAGCATCCCTTTTCTTGTATCCTTTGATTTTGTACAGTCTCAACACTTCCTATCTGCACCTATGAGATTCTAAGGGAATACTGATATACTCACATACCAAGAAAACTAAACAACCTGAACACTGAACCACACACAAATTCCCCTAGAGGTTTATATATTTTAATCTTTTAACTTAGTTGGAACCCTGATATTGCATAAAAAAATATAATATAAGAGATACTTACCTAAAAAGAAAATCTCTATGGAGAAACTTGGGATGAATATTGAACTCTAAATGTTGATTGCTAAATCGCAAACTCCCTACGCTCAATACAATGGCTTGAATGACTCCACTTGCACCAGCTTTAAGTAAATTGTGGCAGCCCTAAAAATAGAATTAAATCATTATAAACCATCATCTTTTCTCTGTTAAGATAATTCATTACATTTGAAAACTACTGTTTCCAGAATCAAACAAAAATACCTAACATCCTCAAACTTCTTGCCTTCTGCAGGAGACCTTATTGTCATTGTTGCAATATTTTGGTGCATTCAAAACAATCACAATTTTTCTTTGGAGAGAATCTATTTTTCTACTGAATCAAAGCTTTTTTTAAAATATTTTTTGTTTGTTATGTTGGCATTATTCTATATAAATATATCACTACTAATCAAAAGCCTTTGGTTTGAAGAGAATAGAGCAGTCCTCTTGAGAAACCAGACTGCAATATTGCATTAGTCAAATCAACAAAACATGCAATTATGAGGTTATGTTCAGTGGTAGTAATGGTATTAATTATGCTTTGTGCTATGCATGGCTTAAACAATGGCAGAGGAGATAACACACTTCCCCAATGCTAGTGGAAATGAGAGCAGTTGGCATTTACCAATTGTAATTGCATAGTACTACAAGTAGTATACTACAGTACAGTTTGTACAGTACTATAAGTTGACAGTAACTTTATTGAGTACTATCAAATCAAGATAAACCAGAATAGCATTTTTTTAAAACTTCTCTTAGAACTAACCTGTTTCTCTAATGTCAAAAGCCATTTGGATGCAGTAATATTAACATCCTTGACAGAGGACAAATCACCCCACAAATTATCAGCTTGTCTGAAAAATTGAAAAAGTTTAGAAAAAAATCAACTGAATTTTAATGACTATATACCTAGAATTACTGGAGGTTAAAAATGTTTTTCCAAACATCAAAAGATCATGAATATTTTAAAATTACTTGAAAACTACTTATGAACTATTTAGATGGTTTAATTAGGAAACAATACAGTAGAGTCACGGTAATTCAAGGCGGACGAATTCGCTTGTTTCTATGCCAATCACCAACTGTAACCTCACCAATACCATATTCGACTGCAAGGATTTAAGAGTTTACCCCCCTTTCCCTCCTTTTTAATGCTTCTAATTTCACTGCTAATGGAACAAATTTCTTTTTCCATTTTGCAGAATTCATGAAAAAACAACGATTCTACATACTTATCTACATACAAGATCTAAAATACTATATACAAAATCTTTAAGGGTGACGTAAATTGCATGTGCAAGTACCGAACCCTTCAAACTGCAATCTGTACAATTAAACTAATTGTTGTTTGACAATTGGGTTTAACAACAACGCTACTGCATTGGCCCAACAATATTGCTTCAAACCAGCCAAACAACAATAAAAACAAATGTAGTAAATTTTTCATGTCTTGTTCATTTTTTCAGGAATATTTTTATTTATTTATTTTAATTAATTTTTTGATAAGCCAGATTTAATTGGATTTATGGGAAACTCAAACAATCGAGACTCTACTGTAATTACAAATGCACACACTAGTGTAATTAAAACCTTACTCTGCTGCAAGGCAATCCAATTGCATCATAAAAGCACTAAATAGTGATATAATTACAATGTATGGTGACCTCCATAGCAGCCTTCAGCATAAAAGAGGCTATTGGCTAAATCATTTTTCCGTTCCTTAGTGGTTCCTTCTTCGTAATAAGGAGATGTGACATGTGACAACACGTAATAAATTGTGGCATTAATTTTATCTCCATTGATAGCATTAGCTGCTTTAGACTGGCTTATTGACACACCAGTACTCCACAAATTTTGCCATACATTTACATGATCAGCTTGACGATTTTGGCGTGTCTTAAGTACTGCTCTCTTCATTTTCTGCATGATTAATTAACAATTAATATAGTATCAATTGTTAATTCACAAAAAAGGAAGAATGAAACATACTAACCTCCATACACTGATTTTCAGTTATATCTTTCTTTGCTGCATAATCTCCTTTATGAATTGGTTCAGAATATTCTATAGATGTCAGAAATTCCAAAGTTGCTGATTTATGTGCTTTAACCTAAAATGAAGTCAACATAACAGTAATGAATTTAAGTGTAGTGCAGGTTTGAAGTACATAATAAAATCTAACATATATATACAGGTTGAGAGAAAACCAACTTATTATCAGCACAAGAACTACGACAGATTTAGTGAAACCTGTCTTAAGTGGTCACTGCTAGTTGTGAAGAAACATGACCAAGTAGCACAGGTGGTCACTTAAAAGATGTGATGCATAAGAGCATGCATGGAAATAATTAATGCGAGACATAAATTAATGTCCCACTTTTCTGTAATGTCACTGTTTATTCATTAATCACTGTTTTCTGTAATCTGATAATGTGTCATGATTTCATATTTGAATTACACAAAATAACTTGGAACAAATATCACCCAGAATATACTGATGGGTTTTAAACAATTTACTAATTGTTTTCCAATTTGAGTTTTTCAGAAATGTTTTTATCATGGTAACGAACTTAAGAAATTTGGTAACTTCATGGTATTCCAAGTAATTAAAATTTGAAATGTAATCTAGAAAAATATCATTTAATTCCATCTTTGCTTTGAAGAATTCTGCCCCTTTAAATCCGAAGACTTTTATAACAGTAGAATAAATATTTAAATTACAGTCTTTGCAACTGTGCTAAGGTTAAATCAGTTCTGTAAAAATCCTTTCATATCACCTTTACAAACCAACTTGAACATCTGTAAATAATGTATTTGGGGAACAATCTGCTAAATTCTGTTTACAGTTTCATTCCTGTTTTCAGGAGTTTTGAAAGCAGAAAAATATTGCAGGGCAATATTTGAATAAGATTTTCCTACTCGCAGAAATACCTTAGTTTGTGGCTAAGTAGCAATGTGGCAATTGGCCTATCGTTGGTCACTCAACTTCTGGCACTATATTATGAGCATAATAAAAGCTGTAATGAAGAATTTAAATCATCTTTCTTGTAGCAATAGTATTGCAGAAATACAAATTATACATATGGTGACAATAAACAAATATGTTATTTTACTTTTGTTGCCTCACTAGAACCTTTGTGTTATTTTAGAATATAAGTTTCTTGTTATTTTCTATGAAAGATTGCACTGGCTAATAAATGTCAAGTTTCTGGAATGTACACCTGTTATCATTCCTAACACAGATACACGTTGCTAGAACTGTCATATTGCAAGCTAATCTGCCACATTCCCTGTATTTACACCTCCAACAAGTGCTGAAGCGAGGTAGGCAAGAACAACCTTTCTTTATACAAAGACAAACTGTCTTTCACATTCCCAGCTGGGACATATTCACACTGTCAATATTAGATTATCATCCACAAATGCATAGACTGAGATTTCAAAACCCTTAGTACCTTTTGGTCAGGTCTCTAATTTCACTATGAAAATGTGAAATAAACATTTAAAACAAATACAAATTGTCAAAAAAACTATGTATTAATGTTATTTAAGAAATAATACTATTTACTTTCACAATTGTCTCAATTTCCTGGGCTTCTTATGATTCATGTAAAAATTCACCAAGTCTTCTAAATATGAATTCTGACATGAAAACTGACTTTTCCAGATCAATGAAAGTCACTGTCATTTCCCAGTTCTCCTGAAAGTGGACAACCTGCTCATTCCATTCCCTAACACAACTTAATTCTGATATTCATATTAAGCATTTTCGGTAGCTTTCATTAAATGTAGTGGTACACTTTTATAATAATATAGTCCACCATCTTATTTAAAAAAATATTTTGTTGCACATGCAGTTGTTTAAAATTCTTGGCATAAATATCATGAAGACCACAAAATTTACAACATGAACACTGCATTAGCTCATTTATTGTGAAGGGAATATCTTTTTGAATGGAACACATATGGATAGGTCTTCACAAACTCTGGATGCAGTGGCAAGATTATTATCAATTATATCAAATAATATCATAGACCATTATATTTTAAGCTCTCAAAACAAAAAATTTAAAATTACGTTGTTAAGGAAGTTATGATATAAAACTATTCATTGCAATACATATTTCTTAAAGTGATAACAAACAATTTAAGAAGTCACACTCTATCAAAAAACAAAGAGAGAGATCACAAAGAAGTAACAGAAAGAAAAAAATATAAACAATGTAAGAGAGCATTTAAGATAAATTGAAATGTATATTCATAGACAGTAAAAAAATTCATTTATGTGAATTATTTCTTTAAACACATTCATACCTCCACAGTTCGAGGAATTTTCTTAGACACAATTGATACAGCTATAACATCTGAATTGGGATTTGCCACTTCTACCATTCCTGTTACAGCTTGATAATCATGATCTCCTATACCATGCTGAAATCTATTGGAGAAACATCAGAAATATATCAAAAATATTTAAGACACAATATCAAACATAATCCAATTAATTAAATACTTACGTTACAGTATGTGATACAGCAGTAGGCCAATTTGATAATTTCAGTTGTTGTAAATTTAAGAATAAATTTTCATTTGTTGGATTTGTTATTGAAATATCTTGCACCAAAATAGCTGCCATGGTACGATGAGCATAATACTGGTAGGAGACATACAACCCCGAACTAAAACACTGAAATCGATGGGCAATACCTGTCAAATAATGTATCACAGTAGCTTCTTTTGCTGGCCTTGAATCACCGGCAACAGTGATAATAGGATGCCAATAGACAGGAAGGGATAAAGTACGTCCATATCTGATATACAATGGACTATCTGGATAGATACTTAATCCAAATACCCCGTTTCCAATATAGGGAACATATGGTTTTTCATTGTCTTGTAGTGGAATGTGCTGAATATTGGCATTAAATTCTTCAAAATCAAAATTAAATTGTCTCAATCTCTCTTTCAGACATCTTTCGGCAACATCTGAAACCAATGCTTGGAAATAGAACACTACAGAAGAATTTTGAAATTATGAGCTTTCCTTCAAAAACTCTCTTCAAAACTGAATTCTTTCAACTACCAGTGAACTCATTTAATGTTTGAGATTTGATATCTACTGGAGACATTATTTAGCATTACTAAATTTCTGTGAATTATCAAAGAAAAGAATACAATTTTTTCCAAAACATCAATATATATGCTCCCTAATAAACTTTCACAACTTAATTCACTCCATGATTAGAAATAAGAGACTGCAAAAAAAGTTGTTAAGTGGAGCACAATAACTTGAAAAATAATTTAAGTATAAATTCCTATTTGATTTTTGCTTACAGTAATGGCAGCAGAAATTCTAGTTTCTTCTAAAAACAGATGTTTGGAGATGGTGAGTGTTGGAAAGAAGGCTCACAATTATGATCAATTGTAATTTTTTTTTGTAAATTTAGTTTACAGTTATAGTAGTAATATAGCTATTGACCACAATTCTTTTACACAGGCTTACCAGGGACATTTCAATTAAGAACTAAAACACTTTTGTACAGGCCAAGAAAGATTCTCACCAACTCTCCTCAGGTTTGGGCAGTATTTAAATATTTGAAATATGAATTTTCGAGATGTATTTAAATATATTAAATGGGAGTATTTAAAAAAAGAAATACTTAAAATACAGATGAACATGAAGATAATGAGCATAGTTTCTTTTTGTTTGATTTCGCTAGTGAATGCTTTGATTTGTCATTGGGAAAAAAAAGAGCTTTTTTCAGCTGTTGAATTTGAATTTTATTAATTTTTCTTAAATTATAAATCAAAATCATTAAAAAAGAACTGGACAGTAATCCGACAATTAAAAAAGAGTTTATTCGTTATAACACTAGTTCATGTCAGTTGAATGACTTTTCCATAGCAGGTTTTATACAATCATCAACTAGCGATTAATTGCCTGGTGATTTCTTTAAAAATTAGTTTTAAAAGAAAATTTTGGTTATCTGACTTAGACATACTTTCATTTCATTTTATATTTGAAAATGTTTATGCAAATATGCATAATACATTTGGTTATAGTTTAGAAATTTATAAGACCGACAATTACTAATTTATTGTAATTGACTTACAATATACTGTTGCAAGAAATAATATATATTACAGATTATTATATTTTCTGTTTTTTAGTATTTGAAGTATTTTCAATATGTATGTATTTGGCAAATCAAAACCTAATATATTTTGAGTATATATTTAAATACTTATTTATGAAGTATTTTAATACTAAATTTAAAGTATTTTGCCCAACCTTTATTTTACTGAGATGTTAAAATTCATTGCAGACAATCTCCTGAGACAAGGCCATAGAAAGAGTTTCAAGAGAGCAGCAACTTTTTCAGAAAAATGTTAGGTGCATTTCACCTATTTGTAAATAACATTTTATGCACTTTTATGAATTACTTTCAATGTTATTTACGCAAGTGATTTAAGATGAACCTCACAATTAAAGTATTAGCCCCTCACCGGTATGATATGACACTTTTACACAAAAGCAAAATAAGAGATGTTAACTCATTTAAACACTGCTGAGCAATTTGTTTCAGAAAGGTAGGTTCCCAACTGTGTGAATGCCACCATGTTAAAAAATTTAAGTTTTGTTAGAAATTGGTTTAAGGTGTAAATCTTCTTAACAAAGAATGAGCAACAAAAATAAAATAGGCAAAATTCATACATTTTAAATAATAATAAATTAATTTTGCTGTCAAGAAATATACAGTCTATGAGATAGATTCTGTTGAATAGGAGTTACCCAAGTATAATGTTATTTTTAGATACATTTAACATGCCAAATACGATCATTTATGCCTTCAAATTCTGCTGACAAAAATCACCAAATTCTTTCTAAATGGAAGGAACTGGTAGAACACAATAAGAATTCCAGTTCCTCGTTTATCACTAAACGTATGAAATTAACTGAGTTACTGTCATGTTTATAGCTGCAATGAAAATTAACAATGATTCTGGGAGTGCCAGTGTAATCAAGTTAAGATTGATTATGATAAAGTACAACTCTTTCATCACGAAATCATATGAAAAGAACAAAAACATTAGAAGACCACAAGCAAAAAACATTGTAAACCACACAACAGTTGTCCTGAGATATTTCAGTGTTTAAGTTCAAAACCAAACTAAATGTCTCTCTAAACGCAGAAAAAATAAATTTATGCCAAAAAAATAATCCCTATAATCCACATTGGTATGAATGTCAATAATTTTATCAAAATAAAAATATAATTCTGATTGTGGCTTTATTGCCTACTGAATTAAGTAAAGCATATTCTAAATTCTCGGTTAAACATTCTGCATATTAAGTGTCTCATCCCATATCAATATACAGTTTTACTTACAACTAAGTCACTACCATATTGAATAAAAAGATTAAAAAAGGAATTCTCACACCTAAACAATAACAGTCCTTTTTAATTCTTGCCTCTAATGGTATTTCAAAAATCATTTGAGTTTCAGCAGGGCATTCAAAAAAGATTTTTCCTCTTAATTAGTACCTGCAAATCATTAATGATTGCAGTACTTCTAGTAAGAAGTGATGTATGTTTATAGTGAATCTAGATGGTTGGGGAGGTTATACCCTTCACATTGAATATAAGCCACTATTAAAATAACCAATGGAAGTGTACCCAAAGGTTAATAATACACACCTCGACAAGTAAAGATGTACCATCACTGCCCCCTGACAGTGGATGTGTACAATATAATTAATAATGATTGTGTTTCCATTCAGAAAATTTTAATCTGAAACTTGCTGCATCCATAAGGATCTTACAGCACTTGCTCATGTTACCTGGCTCAGGGCTCTGCAAGAAATCACCACCTATTCATTCTGCTCATTGCGTTATTATATAAAACTCTTCCATGAAAACATGATTTGGTTTAGAAGAAACTAGTGGTGCTTCAACAGCACATAATGTCTTGCATTATTTCTAACTTTTCCAATTTTTGAAAATTCAGAGAATTCAATGAAAACGAGACTCATGCCAGATTTTAAGCATTCTTTGCTTTAACCATGGAAAAAATTTGGAGCCTTTTAAAGAAAATGTTACCTTCAAGTACTGTCATTGAAGAATGGAGTTCATAAAAGAAAAAAAATCTATATATTTAATATTATAGTTGTAGGAGTATGCTGAAAAATGTTGAACATAAGTCACAGTTGAAAAATCTAGGATTTCAATGAAACTGACCATTTCTTTAAGCATTCTTTGTGTTATCCGAGGACAAAGTTTAATCAAAACATTTGGAAACTATTTGAGAAAATTATGAGTTTCCATGTAAAAGTATACCCCAAAATCAAAATATCTGTTTAAAACTCAGGGGTAAAGGCGCTTAAGGGTCTTGAGTTCATTTAGATCGATCAGGGAATATAATTTTCAAAGAAAATCGACTGAATGGTTTAGGCACCATGGAAATACATAATTTTTTTCCTTCAATCAAGTTTTCGGTATTAAGAACCTACAACACATGGATACAGATTACATATGTTAGAGGAAGTAATTTAATACATTTAGGAACAAGATTTCAAGATTTATGCCGTTTCATTACCAGGATCTGGCAATAAGAGTTTCTCTGTCGAAAAATCACCATTTTCTGGCACACCACGACAATACTTTCTCTTCTTACAAAGTAAGGTGAGAAAGTACACAGTAGTTAACTGGAGGTGCTTCCAAACCCCTGCACTATCATTACAATTCGACAATTCCGAAGGACCACTTTCAACATGACTCATTGCTTTCATTTTCTTACTGATTTCAGTCTCCTTGACCATATTTTGTGCATTTTCTGCTTACTTGTATATGACTAACTCCTCCTCCACCATTTCGTTTTCCTACATTTATTCTACAAACAGCTAATAACACACTATTGTGCCTCTGAAACCATAACTGTTCTCTATTACACTGATGGTCAACGGAGTGTTTTTTCCTTGTACGAATGTTCCTTCTAGTTTGAATGTTCTTTCCTTGTATGGACTTCATTCAGTGTTTATTTTTAAGCCTGGAATTATATTTCACAGTATTTATGTTTTGAGGAGGACATTTCATGGCAGACATGTCTCTTTCAAAAAATGTGAGAGAATTTTCTTTGTCTGGGATCTACAATACTTGACAGTAATGATATTTTGTTACAATTACAGAGGTGGCCAAATTATTAGACTTTTGTTCTCTGACTTAACAGATTATAATGAGTCCTGAGAAGCACCTCGTAAGTAACTGTTTGAAGGTTTGAAGTGTAATGTTTGTTAATGTTATTGGAAATGTGTACACAGTTAATGGTAGAATGAGGCATGACTAATACTTAAGAGGCCCTAAAGAACCAATGGTTCCCTCACATAAATGACTTGTTTGGGAACAAAAAAACAATGACTACGTTCTCTATCAGAACAGAAAAGAAAGTTGGAAAACATCTTCAAGACATTGATCGGTCTGGGTTTCAATGTGCTGCAAATAGCCCTGACATGAATCCCATCAAAAATGTTTGTTTGATAGATAAAAGAAACCTAAGAAAAGAAAGCCATAAAAAACAGCTCAAGAAACAACTCATTTGCATCTCCCAAAATGACACTCAAATTGAAAGAATAGATTAAAAAATGATTTTCAACATATCTCAGAACAAGTATGTTGATTATTAAATGTTTATAAAACATTAAAACCCTGTACACAGAGTGTCAATATCTATCGCAAATACATTATGTCTTATTCAATAACAGTAGTCTAATAATTTGGCCACCTGTAAGTCAAACTATTCTAATTCACAATGTAATGTTACTTAAAAGCTCATTGGATTCTCTTTCCAAAGCCGCCTTTGCGATAATATTTCCCATTGGAAGTTTGCACATGCTGATTTACAAAAATTTATTAACATTAACTACACATCAAATCATGTAACTTTCAACATTCATCAGACTTTTTTAAAGCTAAAAATTTGCTAGAATTCACACAAAACCATTATTCTTGGGTACCATACACAGATATGTAAATTACTCAAACGTTATTTTGCTATCAACATTAAACATTACATGAAAATTTTTTGGTGCTGTGATGAAACTGATTTTTAAAAAAATGTACATAAATGTCTCAACAAAATGCATTTTGTTTACAAAATAATCCAACAAAAAATACTATTTTAGACACAGTCTGTCAAAAACCAATAACAAACGCTTATTTACAAATGTAATATAAGAACCAAGTATCTTGGATGTTTGCACATTGCAGCGCTTGATCTGTGTAATATTGTTCATTAAAAATAATAATAATAATAATAATAATGAGAATTGAACTAAATGTGCACCAATAATCAACATCCTTATCCTTTTTACAATACATTCTTTAAATAAGTGACTTTGTATGCAACTCTGGTAATGGTTTCACAAAAACCAAATATAACTCTAAATTGTATGCTTTTGCAAAAAATACAATAAACTATTTACAATTGGCTCTGTACTTAGATGACCTTTGAAATATACAAAATGTATCTATTTTCACAACAATGGGGAATGTAGCATGCTCCTAAATAAAAACAATTTTTTTTTCATCACATTTCATCTCCAAATTTCCAAAACAAATTCAATGAAAGATTTTGGAACTGTCACTACAATTTCACACTTTTTGCATATATCAAGTGTTCAGTGCTGCACTGGTAATATCAATAAAAACATACCTTCAATGTCTGGCTTAGCTTGTGAGAGCCATCGCATGAAATTGGGGCCCACATAAAAGATAAATCCAAATACAATTGTAATTAAAATAAATGCCCTTCGGTATCTGTAACAAGAAAACAATTCACATTACTATTTTGAACAACAGGAAATAAGTTTGTTTTTATTAATTAAAAAAAAAAACTTACGTAAAATAATTTTCTAAGGTTCTCTTCCAACGGCGAATCATTTCTAAAATTTCCATTTCGATTTCTGAACACCAAGTAAATGTCACTCACTTTTTAGTCATAAACTGAAAATAATTATTAATAAAAATTTCACAAATTTTATACAACACTTTTATATATAAATAACACACTTATACAACTGTAAATGTAAACAAATGAAGGTTGTGCAATAGTGTTAGTGTCACTTACATATACATGAGATGATAATCACAAGAGGTGGTCAGTAACCCTAATTTTCATTGTAAGTAAACAAACTGTCATTCAACAGAAATGATGGAACAAATGAAATAAATGACATATAAAAATGTCACATTTGTAGTCATTGAGATTTAGTGATAACCGTGACCACAGGATCATGAATGTCAAATTTCGAAAGTCTTCTCGACAAGAAAAGAACCCACTCGTCGTCGAATGAAAATTATTTTCAGCAGTATTAATTACAATCACAAGTCAACGAGTTAACAACATAGTAATACACACAGTAATACTTGGTAAATTCGCTTTTAACAATGAAAACAAAGTTCTGAAAATACACATCGGGATGTAATGATGAAATGCAGATATTCTAGATCACTTCACATTGGTCGACATTTAATGCATACTTTCATTAAAATGTAGGATAACTGAAATCGTGGCAAACTACCATACATAATCCCACACACCGCACACATGGGTGGTGACATTTTTATCAGACGCGACACTCCTCTCCGTGTGACTTGCCAACATCTTGATAACAGAGTAGAGTTGGTAGCAGTGATAGGTTACCAATAACGAGTAGTTCAAAAACTAAAACACTCCAGATCGGTTAGTTATTTGGCCGCAATATTTATGCATTTCGAAATGCATTAAATGTTTTTCAAATGTCGAGAGGTTATTTTCAACGAGTGTCCGTAATGTGCAGGCATTGTGTATATGTCACGACAAAAGATACAAATATGGCTAACATGAGGAGTGCTCAGTTAAATTGCACATTGTCCAGACGATGTTCATAAAGATGTGTAAATGATGCTGAACGAATCATTTTAGACTTCATCCGGCTAATGTTGGTGTCAGCGTTCAGACACAGAGCGCTGACTGAAGTAAGATGATTGTTAGAGTTTGGGGCGTCACGTGTGTTCATAAGCAGTACTTTGTCATTGGAAATTATGCGCTATACAGGATCAGGGTTCTTCTATGTAAGTCGCGAAGGTCGAAGGCTAGAGCTTAATCAACTCGGAAATACTTAACAAAGCGTTTACTTGAGTATAGTGACGTTAGATTTGGAGGTAAACCATATACCATTAGTAGGCAACATAATCACGACTGACAGTGGAACTTGAAACAGCACACTTTGTCTCTCACTAGTCTTAGAAACTGACTACCAACAATCCCTGTTTATGGTATATGGTATATTCTTGTTTATCTATTCGATTATAGCTGTTTCTCGTCACCACCGTCCTTCACCTAAACTAGCCACCTTGCAATGAGCAATCTTAACATTATCCGGCTTAACTCCGAAGAATGATTCACAGGTCTTCATGCTTCGGACTTTAAGCTATCTAATCATTTTGGATAAAGTGAACAATAACCGGCTGATTCGGGAATTAGCCAGATTCACACTCTGGGTATCTTGTATGTCACGGCGGATCCAGAGACGAATTGGGGGAGGGTATTGTGTGTGTGAATATATATATATATATATCATATATATATATATATCATATGGTATATAATATATACTTTATGAAACGAAGAACGTTTCTGTATTAGAAACAATAAAATGATCACTAAATTAAAATAATGTACTGGCAGTTGATCAGGCAGTTAAGCCGGCCCCGCGCCCCCAACGGGGAAATCGGGGGTAAACGCCGAGGCGAGCGACGGTTAGAGTAGTGCGCCGAGAGGCTCGAGTGAAGCACGACGGGCAGTGGCTGCGTCCAAGAGATTAATTGTCGTTGTTAAGTGCAGTTCGGACTGAGTGGATGGCCGCTGAGTGTGGAAACCAGTTGATAAGGAATTAACAATCAGATGATGTGAAAGTGCGGAATGCGCACCAGAAGTTTTTTTTTTGATAAAAAACAAGTAAGAAGAAATCGTGTGCACGATGGACTCGTGTCATTCCGCCCTGTATAATATACAGTGGGCAGTACTGTACGGACATCCGCGCAAGTGGAGAAAGGTCGCCTGAAAAGACTCGAGAACTGCCGACGAACGATCAATCACGCGTCGTGCGTTCGCAGTACCACGTGAGACATTATTCGTACCGGCTGGGGTGGACCCCGGCGAATATCATCGGCCGATCTACGTTGGCGCAGAGGATGTTCGCCGAAGGAGGGCAATTCACCGCGACGTACTCGGGGCGAACCGAAGATTGCCCGAAACCGCCAGCCGTTGCCACTGCGGCCCCGGTCGCCTCTAGAGGAAGCAGGTGGTTTTGTAAAACAATCAAGTAGCGTTGACGTGCGCTCCTGTTTCTAAGGCCTGCGCATTGCGATTTGTAAATACTATTTGTAAAGTGTGTTTTTCTGGAATCCATTTAAAATATTTAATGTGCAAAAACATTTTATAACGATTACTTCTTCTTGCGCCAAATTCCTGAGAGACCCATTCTACGAAAATGTTACCTGTCCCTTGCGATAATTTATTTGCGGAAAGTACCGCGTGTTCCCAGGTACGTCCAATACTATAATATTTTAAGTAATATATATATATACTATATTTATATATATACTAAATAATATATATAAGTTAAATATTATATATATATATATATATATATTACATTTGAGTAATTTTTGAGAAAAATATACCGAAATTAACATATATTAAAGAGGGTAATTACCACTATCAATTCGAAATGTTTGAAGAAAAAAATTGTAGCCGTTTTTGAGAAAATGGCCTTTGAGCGTTTCTGAAAATGCGAAGTTTTGAGCCAGTTTTCACAGAAAACGGTAGTTTTCGAGAAATTTTATGACATTATTTAAAGCTCATTTACTCATAAATGCAATAATGTGAACAAATTGCGGTTAGTATAAATGTTAAAATATGAGCGGCAAGAAAAAAATTAAATTTTGTAATTTTTGAAAAAACAACAGTAGAGCAATATGACGTTTATGTTATCTTATGGAGTACATTTAGCACTATCCCTACCAGAAGTTTAAAGAAACAATTTGGAGCCGTTTTTGAGAAACTCTTGTTTTGCAATTTTAAAATAACACAAATAGGACGCAATTTTGCGCGAAAACTACTAAAATTTTCAAAAGAATGTACATGACCTTAATACAAGAACTCACTACGGAAACCAAATTTCTCTTAAAGGAAAAATCACATTCTTCAATTTTGTCGTTGTAGGAAGACACCGAAAAAAATTCATACTTTCGATATTTTCAAAGATTCAGAGTTAACTGTGAAAATAGGTCCTATACCACACTTATGTCTATGTTACTCTATTCTTACAAGAAATTTAAAGAAAAAAATTGGAGCTGTTTTCGAGAAAATTTTGAAAATGCCCGGGGGACTTCATGGAAAAAACTTCCAAATTTTAAAGATTGTTTTTTTCAAAATCTTAAAGATTCGACTTGAGCCGGATCGACACGGGTTTCTTCAATTTGGAAAAAACATTCGCATGGTTTAGGTGCTACGAGTAGTAGTGTTCACGGACGGACGGTTTGAAAAAACAAACAAACACTTTTTCGGTAACAGGGGACGCCAAAACGTGTATTTCCATCGAAATCGATTTTCCGCAACATAACTTCCCCTATATTAGGTATATTACTTTATATATACGTACGTATATGGAAAAGTAATAATAAACAAGGTAAATTATTTATAATAAAATTCTTTTAAGAAAATTTAAATAAGAAATTTAATATTTAATGAATACTTTATGGTTTTAAATTTAAAAATTATAATAATTTGTTACTAAAGTCGTTGAATTCAGAGCTGCAAAACAACGAAGGATTAGGGTATTGTATTTCTCATTCTACGATATAGATGTGAACAGATAGAATTTAAATAAAAACGCATGAAGTCGATTTACAAATTAAAAGTTGCTTACATACAAACATTACTGTTCAGGACTGAAGAAAGTCGACAAGACTTTCTTCAAAATATGTCTTAAGCCTCTTCTACTTTTTCTTTCAATTAGATTTTTCTCTTTTCTTCTTATTCTTTGATGATATCTTCTTTCTCTTCTTAAGTACTTATTAACCGCGCCGTCTCTAGGCGCATGTAAGCGATCTATGCCCTATTCTTTTATTTCGGGCACAGTGTAATTGCGCGGAATGTCACAGCGGCCGAAGATCACTCGCTTGGCACCTAGAGAGACCTTACTCCGTCAACACTGTTTCCGGTTGCGTCGGTCACTCTCCAATTCGTGGAAGTCGTCGTAGCACCGCTTGTCAAGCAGAGTAAGAAAGACATGAACTGTCACACGCCTCTCGAGAACATTGGAAAACATTTCCCCGACGTACCACTCAGCTAAAATACACTAAGATTCAGGATTGCTATTAGTAACTACAAGGCTAAGGACAGAATGCGCGGCAATTTGTATGATACATTTTAAACGTTGAAAGAACGACCACAAATACCATGCCCGAGGCGGGACTCGAACCCGCGATCCTTTGGCCCACGGTCAGTACGGTACAGCTGCCTTCGGTACTGTTTGACCGGAACTGTTTTGATATACATTTTTACGTCATTTTTCTTTGCTTTTTTGGGCATTTTAAAAACATTTAAAGAGTATTTTACTGATCACTTTTGGCGATGTTTTAGGCCATCAAAATCCGAGCCTTAGTTATTATATTTCCCCATCCTGGGGATACTATATAAATGTTTTGGCCGAATGTGTCATATTATATATTATGTAGAATGACGGAGGGTAAACTCAGTTCATGCTACGATACAATTTTATCCGATTTAACGATTATCCGAAAATATTTTTAAGGAGTAGAGAGAAAGTTATGTATTACTGCGCAAAAAAATGCGAATGTTCGGCAGAAAAACTCTTCTTCCAGGGCCCTGGTAACGAAAAAGGGGATAAATCCAGCTGCTAAATTTAGAAACAAATCCTCTAACACGTGTTGTAGCCAGAATTTGTTTTATGGGTCCTTGAAACCGAAAAAATCGAATGACGACAAAAGGTGTGTCTATCCGTCTCAAAACAACGATAGCGGTTAAACCGTTCAGCCGATTTTCTCCAAAATTGATATTCCCCAATCGATCTGGCTGATGTCACGGATCCTGGAATTTGAAACCGGTATTTTAATATCGGGGGTACTTTAAATGAATCCCCTGGGACTTGTTTCAAATTTTAAAAACAAGGCTCCATCGATTTTGATAAACATTTTTTGTTGGATAGTATGAAGGACTTTGAAGAGAATGTTGGAGATATCATGTTCGTTAAAAACCCTAAGTTGTGCAAAATTGCAATAGTTGAAAATTTTTTTGCGTCTTCCTACAACTAAAATATTACAGATAGATATTTTTTCCTTTAATGAAATCAATTTCTTAAAGCTAGGTTTTGAAATAAGGTCAGATGCAATTTTTCGAAAATTTGAGTACTTTTCTCGTAATTTTGCGTGAAAATACGAGCGAGAAAGTAAGTGCTGTTCCAGCACTGCTAGTTACTTAACAGTATCGTGAGAAGTTAAAATTAATAGTTACTGAAAAGTTTTCGAAGACGTAGATTGTATGCATTATTAAACATGCGCCTGTGTATGTATATACAAAATACAAGCAATGTAATACAATAAAACTATACAACACATACGCAAAAACAGATATTTTAACTGTGAAGCAGTGGCGGCTGATTCCCCGATTAGCGAAGTTGCACTCTATCGAAGGACGGGAATATAATTTCCAAAATTCAGAACACTAACATTATGATAAAACGTAAGCAATTCATGTAAATTAATAATTAATTTAATTATAATTAACACTTAATCAATTATAATTAAATAAATTAACTTTTAACTACAATAAATTTTAAAAATTATTTAAACTTATTATACTTATTATATTAACATGGTTTTACGCGTAATGCCGTGGCAGGTATGTTCTCCTCCC